CTTTTTTCAATTGGTGGTTGTTTTTGGTTAATTGGTTTTTTAATTGGTTTGAGTTTAATGGGTACATTAGTTATAATCTTTATTTTGGAACTTTTCTCTTTATCTTCTGGCTTTTTGTTTTCACAAAGTTTTCTTGGTCTTTCAAATAGCTTTTCTTGTGATTCAAAGAAATGTTTGATTTTTTCATGCCATAACATTGTGCGGACATGTGTGTTCGTGGTGATTTTTCTATTTCTGTTGGAAAAATTTCTTTAGGAGGGCGTGATTATGCGTCTGCATTAACATTTTGCGTTCTTTTCTTATACTGTATAGTATATTCAAATAGGCTACTTGCATGGAAAATTAAATTGATTATTGTTTATTGCAAACTGTAGGAAATCGAAAAAAAATCGTTACTTTTTTTTTATTTCGCCCAAAAATGTTATACAAATATTAAGTTTTTTATATATAGATATACTGAGCATGTGCGACGTCACAACGTATTATACCTAAGTTATGACGTCGGAAAGACATTTCAAAGCGTTGTATCTCCGTCAATTTTTGACTAACAAAAAAAAGAAAAAACACGTGTTGACTTATTTTTCATGGACTATCGAAATCAGCAATAAAAAAATTTTATGCAAGGGGCCTATTCTCGAAGTTTTAAACTCCATCTTAATAATTTCGAACCAGGGTCTTTGATAGAAGAGAGCCATTGTAATGCTTTATGGTCAGTCACTATTGTAAACTTTATGCCAAATAAATATGGTCGGAAGTATTTCGCAGCCCATATTATTGCTAATAATTCCTTCTCGATTGTTGAGTAACTACCAATGAACTATAAACTATACGTACCTGGAATGGCCCGCCGAGCTATAAATTTGCGGCAGATTGCGATGGAGAATGTGGGGTACATACATCTCTATTTATCTTATTGGCGAATCATGGAAATCTTTCCTTGTCTAAAAAATATTTTATTCGAGGTTAGGAATATGCCAAACCTAACAGCAATGAACTGGAGACAGAAAGGGATACCCCACTATGTAGCTTTTTTGGACGCACTAAGCGAGATGACAAATGCCATACAAATGCCATATCCGACAACAGTCGGTGCCATTCCAGATACGTGTAGTTTATAGTTTATTGGTAACTACACTCGGCTGGGTTTAAAGTTCTACTGTTATAAGCAATAGGTAAATCCGATCCAATTGGCCCTTGCGAAAGTACTACACCAATTGTGTACTCTGAAGCATCAGTTGTTAATACAAAAGGTTTTTCAAAATTGGGAAATTGAAGTATTGGGTCATTGGTTATAAGGTCTTCACAAAGGTTGAAAGCTGTGATGAATGCTTTGTCATGAATCACTTTGACATTTTTCTTAAAACAATTTGTTAAAGATTTTGTAATTTTTGCAATATTTCCTATAATAACCTACAAGGCCAAGAAATTATTTTATTTCTTTCGGGGTTTTGGATATTCTAAAATTTTTGACTGCCTCTATTTTTCGAGGGTTTGGTTTGACACCTTCAGGAGTTATGGAGTGCGTTCAAAGACGGCAATGCTAATGCCAAAACCTACTATTCCCCTTCTACCGGCAATGCTAAGTCGCTGGTGTGAATTTGCTGGAACGCCAAATACCGTTTCTCAATATGCAATCCAAACCACGTGACATTCAATATGGCGTGGCGACCATTCACGGACCAAAAAAACACAAAAAATATCTAGTTTCTGCCCGACTTAATAGTTAACGTACTTAGTTAACAAATATTTTATTGAATAATTAAAATCGAAGCTGCAAACAAACAAAATAATTGAAATATGCATGAAAACCCATATTCAAAACTAACTTGCCTGGCTGCCACGCCATATTGAATTTGGTCTCATCCAATCAAAATTCGTATAACCATTTCTAGACTCAGTTGAAAGAGCCTCCAAAAGTTACTTTACCGCGGCCGATTTGGAACGTGTAAAGCCAACCGTTTTTGGCACGCTGGAGCCGAACTTGAACGCAATATGCCAAATTTGGCTCGGCTTTAGCCGTTTTTGAACGCAGCCATGATGTGTCCTAGAAATTCGACACTTTTCTGTAAAAATTCAGATTTGTCTAACTGTATTTTCATATTGAAAGACATTAATCGTTCGAATACTAATTTCAAAGTAGAGGTTATATGTTCTTGTAGACTGGTTGAATAGATAATGATATTGTCAACTCATAAACGTACACAAGCCCACGCATTACATAAATTAAGTAAATTTTCAAAGGAGGTCACCCCGGACTATTAAAAACAGACCGATTTTGCTTATGCCAGCAATAATTTCAGTATAAATTCACGCACTGCGGCAATGCAAGGCAAGGTTGGTCTGGACTGCTTTATGCCTGATAAGGTACGAGCCTAAAGACCTGCCTTCTTAGCTGGGTACGACTAGGTATAGTCGAGACTGTGAAACTTTGTGGATGAAGGTCTCGTCTATAGCAGCCGTGTCACAGCGTCCCCAAGTTTAGACCTACGAGAACTATGCCCCTAGGGGGCCCGTTCTTTTAGTGCATCTTGGGTTACATTAAACATTAAACATTATTACATTTCGAGTTGACAATCGAAAATATGGTCCACCAGGGACGAACATCTGCGGTGTTAGGATTTTGGTAAATCTCCTTGAACTATAAGGTGTAATTAAGGTTTAGTAATAAAACAAATTAAATATTCGTGGTGGTATTCCTTCCCCCCATATCCTCTCTTTTCAGATATACCCTTAGTGGACGCAGCCAAGCGAAGTAAAAGTGGTGGCACCGCTGACCACAACCAACCTAAGCGTGACAATATCATCCATACATAAAGTCTGTTTTTTTTTTAAAGATAATTCCCCAAGTCAAAAATTTAGTAACTTTGTTGGCAACACAAGCCTTTTCTACACAAAAAATTTGAGAGCATTGACAATTTTACATTGCATTGCCAACATAATGTCATTTTGACTTTTATCTTTAAAAAAAAAACAGATTTTACTAGACAGACTTTTCCTAGTAATCCTCGTAAAACATTATCCATTGCTCGTTGGAACATAGCAGGAGCATTTTTCAACCCGAAGGGCATACGTGTGTATTCGTAATGTCCATAGTCTACATTGAATGCTGTTTTAGGAATACTTTTTGTGTCCATTTTAAACTGGTGGAACTCACTGGCTAAATTCAAGGTTGTAAAATATTGACAACGTCCTAGCTTATCTAATATATTTGCTATATTTTGTATTGGATATTTATTACTTATGGTTTTCTCATTCAACTTGCTGTAATCAATTACTAATCTACATTTCTTTTGTCCTGATGCATCTGTTTTTTTAGGAACTATCCATATAGGGGAACTTCAAGGAGAATAGGATGGTTGGATGATTCCATCTTGAAACATTTGGTCTATTTGCCTATTTACTTCGTCTTTGTGAATGTAGGGGTATCTATAGTTTTTTGTATGAAGTGTACTAACATACGGTTTGATTGATTCTGGAAAATAAGTTTCAGCTAAGAATGGTCTAAGCAATGATATATGTAATCCTGTATCTATTAATAATCGTATATTGTAATTAGGAATTTATATGAATGGCAATTGATTAATTTGAAAACTATTTAGATTTTTACAAGGTGTCCCATAAGTCACGGTCCAAACTAAAAGGGGTGATTCTTTGGACTATTTTATGACTAAAATTTCAAATAAACATAGGTCTGCAAACGCTCCGTTACCGATCTACAGGGTGGTGAAAATTTAATGTATTCATATTGAAAATGACCAAGAATATGGCGGCAAGGGCGTGGCTTACTTCTAGATTCCTACTGGAAATGATCAAGAATATGGCGGCGGGACCTCTATTGTCGCCACTGTAGATAGAAAAATTATATTGAGTCACTGTAGTTTCATCTAGCTAATTACAAAGATTTGTTTTTTGGTTTTTTTCTCGATAAGGGTCGGTATTTCGAAAAAACTACAAGACAACAAAAAGTTTCTAAATAAGGTAGAAAAACCATTTAGTTCTCTAGGATCTACCAGCGGCGCACTTCAAAAAAGTTCAGGGGCAGAAAGGGGGATATGACCCCCGGAAAACATCACCCTGTAAATTCTGGCAAACGTGTGAAATGTGAAATCATTTAGCTCCTATTGCGTGACCTATATACCAAATTTCAGCTAAACCCCTCAAAAATTGCAGGAGCTATAAAGAAAAAACTAAAAAAATATTGAAATTTCAACACCCTGTAGATCGGTAACGAAGCGGTTGCGGACATAATGTTTATTGAAAATTTTAGTCATAAAAAAAACCAAAGAATCACCCCGTTCAGTTTGGACCGTGACTTATGGGACACCCTGTATAGAGTTTACGTTGTCCAAGGCTTCCAATTGAAAATTCTCCAATTGTTCTGCAAGATTTTCTTCTTCATAAGAAGTTTGATCTTCAAAATTGTTATTATTTTGGAAAAAATCGTATTCAGATTCTGGATTATTTTGGGATTCAGTTTCCTCATTTTCAGATTTGTTAATTCCTGAAATGTATAATTAGGTTTTCCTGTGGATTTAAAGTAAGGTTGATGTTGTCTTACTTGGCTGACAGATTTTCGTGGTTGAATACTCACACCTCACATTGGTTGTGGGTAACAATCTCGGAAGCACAATTACCATTGAAAATAGGCCCCCGTAAATTTCAACCAAATTTCAATATTTTTAAGATATCATTGCAAAAAAAAAAAAATGTAAAGACGATCGTATGTCTGTGATAGCAGATATAACGCATCAAAGTACGTAGGTTCTGCTATGCTATGCATACGAAATATCCGAGGAAATATCCCTACGAAGATTTTCTTGAATATCTCGAAAAATACCGATCTGATTTTGAATTTTTTGGAGTTTGATACCTAGGAAAGGAAACCAAAAAAGCTTGCAATTTGTAACCACCTTGTATATTGCAGTCTTCTTGTCCAAATACCCGATATGTTGTAGCCAGTAGCAAGAAAAAAACTGTCAAATAACTGCTGGTGGTTTTACAATTATTATTGTCAAAAAAATTGTCATGTCTCACAGAAAAAATCACAAAAAGTTTTAACTACATAAGGGCCTAGGCCTGCATTAATCATATACAACATTTTTTCTTGCATTATATACATTTTTACAAAAAAAAATTACATACTGCGGCAGGAAAAATGGTTCGAAGAAATATTGGTAAGCAAAATACGATAATTTCTCCTGCAGCATCTATCACAAGGAATCTTTTTCTAGGGCCTGGACCAGGCAAGTACCTACTACCGCCAGTAGTAGGCTACGATCAACATGATTTCACAAAATACAGGAATCCTCAATATTCCATGGGTGTCAAACTGCAAAGCCTTAGGAAACAACTTGGACCTGGTCCCAAGTATCCAGTCGAACACATGACTCGTTACGGAAAAGCTAGCCCACCTGCATATTCCATAAAATCTCGCCAAAAACCTCTTGGTAAAGTACACATTATTTATTAAACCATAAATTTATCTAATCTAATTTATTTCAGTCCCATTCCAAGTTCCCGGTCCTGGAACCTATGCCCCAGAAAAAGCACCAAGAATGAAAGAGCCTAGACCGCCAGCATACTCAATATCACACAGATTCCCTGGATTCAGGCCCTACGTCACACCGGGTCCTGACAAATATGAAGTACCGTCCACTCTAGGACCAAAAGTACCTGACAAACACGCTAATGCAGCTTACAGCATGTCGTTCAGACAAAAATTGAATCTTAAAGAAAAATCTCCAGGACCAGCACAATACAATATGGCGAACACTGATAGATACAAAAATAAAGCTCCAGACTATAGTATTTCGCCTAGAGTGTATCCACCTCAAGGAAAATCCCCAGCCCCGGGACCGATTTATTTGCCAAAACTTCCTCAGAAGCCTGGTTATTCCTTTGGACTTAGAACTGACACTGATCCTTATGTAACTGCTGAAGATGATATGCCATGCATTGACAGGGGCAATAAATGATGAAAAATAAAAAAAATCGGAATAATTTTTTAAGGTAAATTAATAGGAAAAATAAAAAGTGATATCACAAAATGTTTTCTTTCAATCTAATATAAGTTGGTTTATTAAATATTAATTTGGGTCGATAACAAGGAGTTCAGTGTGCACATAATACTGTCGTTAGTCGCCTCATTTTTACCTTTTATGTGCGATGCTTATTGCTTATGCCCTTATATCCAAGGTTTTTAATCAAAACTAAAATTTCAAAGATAACCTGTCACTATCTCTATCTTAAATTATTGCCAGATACAGTGACATTAAAATCAATACACACCACACTTCTCGTCTTTGTGTGATGTACTGGTGTGGTATTGAGCATTTTGTTCTAGGGCTGGAAAGAAGTTCTGTGGAGTAAATATGGCAATAGGGCCTTTAGCTATATATAAGTATTTAGTCTATTTGACAGCCTTCCTACTATTCCAATTAATAATAACTACCGACTATTTATTCTGATGAATATCTTCTCAAAACTACAGATTTACTTGTATAAAGTATTTTCCAGGTATTATGAGGATAAGCTATCCTGTAGTAGTAATGTGTATCATCCTTGCAAATGGAACAAGTTTCTGACTATTTTCAACAAATGAAATTTGCTCTGACTGGTTTGTGATTTCTGTGAGAACAGACCTTTATCTCTGAAATTAAAGAGCACAGCCAGCGATCAGTTCAACATGAATTTGTGAAACAAAAACTGCATTTGAACAAAATTTAAATAAAAAATCTATATGCCATTGAGCTGAACCCCACAATTGTGTTACTGTTTCAAATAAAGTTTATTCAAGTTCATGTAACAATATAAAAAATAGTAATAATAAAGTGTGATCAAACAGTAAATTTTTCTTAAATAATTTACCTTAAACCAAATAACTATCTTCATAATTTTCTCTAAGCGTAAGTATATCATTCAGAGACTCTCCGTACTCATCTTGTTCTATTGTAAACTTATGGAAACGAGCTATTTTCAATTTTTTGGCCTCAGTATGTAGAGACTCTAGCATTTCACCTATCTCTGAGCCCGAATGGAAGCCAGCTAAAATTGGGATCGATTCCACTCCTGAAAAATAAAATTCTTTTAAGTTATCTCAATTTTCTCAAAAATAGAACTGCTTACTTTGACTTTCTCCTCTAGGATTAGCACAGACATTTCCATTGACACCAATCCACTGATCAAATATTTCAGGAAAGGGATTACTTACAGGCATAGCCTTTTCCAAAACACCAACATTACTAGCAGTTGCAAAAGTAGTACAAGACAAATAAAACTCCATCATTTCTTTGACACTATTACACTTGTAAGCAGCCATTTCTTTCTGTTTACCAGCCTTATTTTGAGCTTTTTTGAGCCTAGTTTCTGGTATACCCCTTAACATAAGATGTTGCATTACTCTTTCAGTGCCTATCTTACACCTTGGAGTAATACTTCTATAAAGAGGCCCCTCCCATTGATCCAAACAATCAATGAGTTCGGCGTCAGAGTTCAGGGAAAATGGCATACACAAACTTGCAGATATGGCTTTGCGATCATTGCCTGTTAAATCAGCACAAAGATCAGTAAGGCTGCAGGTTGTCGATTTTAATCTGTATTTTAAAGTAAGTGTATCCAGGGCTGATGCTAATATTGCACTAGAATGATAGGGCAGTTTATGCTGAAAAAAAAAATTGAATATGCACATTTTTATAACCAAATAAAAAATAATTCTCTCACATTAAATTGAGTATGATAAAATTCCCTTGGTACACCAGGTTGCCGCCATCCATCGGTAGCTGCACATAAAGGAGCAAACATGCTACCAAATTGTCTATAACTGTTGAAAGACATCAAAAGATTTATAACTCTTGTAGAATCATTCATTATTGAAAAAACTTGTTCTCTATCATTCTTGAAATCGTTATCGGGAAAATGAGCTGGAATTGTTGGTAGAACTAATACAGATTTTCTGTCGTATTCGTCTCTTACATGCTCCAAACAGGCAGATGATAAGCCAGCAAAACCATTTGTACAATCTGTAAGGATATGAAAACCCTGTAAAAAATTGGTTGTGTTCAATAGTTTTTGACAAACCAAAATCACTTACTTGAAAATGATCGCATTCTTCAATATAACTTCGTATTTTATCTGCAAATTCATCCTCGAACATTTCATTTTTCCATAAAGCTGTTCCCGAGCTATAGCTATCAAAAGGAGTCTCTTCATTACAATGCTCATACTCGTTTACAATATTTACAGTTCTTGGATGATATTTAGAATACAAATAATCTGACCACACTTCGACATTTTCATCAAGATTATATTTTTTACTGGAAACACTTGGTAAGGCCTCAGGGTTCTCTAGATCAATTTGAAATTCATTTTTGGGTTCTTTTTGATTTTTTTGTAATTCCACTTTATTGCCATCCCATTCTACGAATAGTTGGGAGGAATCTGGTGCAGATTCATACAAGTCTCCTTGTTTTGGTAATGATTTAAGGCTGCATTTTAGATCCACAAGTAAAAGTCTGGGTGTGAAAGTAACTTGGCCCTAGAACATAAATCTTGTGTTGAGTTGCGATAGTTACATTTTGGAATATCTCACAGTGCAATTTCTACCACAATAGATATAGGGAGATATATGACTATTCTGCAGATCATTTGGCAGATTAGACTATACAACTATTAAACCAATCGATCGACAGAATAGGTTTCCCTGCTTATTGACCGCACGCCGCTCGGCAGAATAGCATTCAGTAGCGTGTTGGCTATTTTGCTGACCGAACAAAATTGGTATGGTATTTTGGAATTTAGTGCAAAAATCGCGAGTGCAAACAAGATTTTGAAGTGATTTTAAGGTATCAAAAAAGCCTCTGTGATTTTATGTTTACCCAGTGTGTTAGTTGTATGTGGCAATTTTTTCTTATATTTATAGATAGTAATACTTATAGTCAATAAAGTAATGAAATGTCCAATGCACCTGAATGTAGTTTCATTACTGAAGACCAGAAGGCTAACAATAATGTCGATAGCTATGAAGCAAAAAAAAGAAAATACCAGAATACACCAGAAAATATTACCTTGAATTAAAGTGGTAAGATTTTTGATGGAGAAGCAACAATCCATATGCAGATGTAATTCCTGAACTAAATCTGCATCAGATTAATCTATCTTGTTACAAAGTCAATGATCCCGATCCCAAACTCAACCTAAAAACAAGGGTTGATATTAATAATAATATTTAACATGTTAAGTTACCGCTTGTTAATGGAAATTGGGATAAAAAAAATATCAATCATATATTCTAGATATAAAACGACGTTGAATGAATTTTTGTATAATGAAAACAAAGTTGGGTCAGTTCTATTCAGTACTTCCATCAGTACCAAATAGTTTAATCAAAATTATGAATTTAATTGGAATTGGAAGTAGTATGGTATGTCTTTGACATGTACCATGGTAGGTTTGATGCGCAGGAAAAAGAAATTTGTGTTTGTTAATAAGAGTGACCGATTCCAGGAGAAAGAGAGACAAATAAGTTGAAATATCGTAAGAAATAGATGAAAGTACAGTAGTGTCTTGGCGATGCACCAGCAATAAATCGAACTGCACGTTTTTGAAGTTTAAAGACTGACTGGAAGAGGTACTGGGAGCAACGGCCCCAAAAAAGTAAACTGTAAGAAAGATGAGAGTGTACAACTGCATAGTAAATGAATTTGGAGATAGGGACATTAAGGTTTCCAGCAACGGTTTTTAAGTGCTATGATATGAGATTCATCTGATAGATCCAACTGAAGGCCAAGAAACTTGGTGTTCTGTAAAGATTTAATTATAAACTGCTCACAGTCAATGTTGTCAAAATTACATCGAAAGCCAAGTACTTGGGTGTTAGTGAAATTAAGCAAAAGCCCATTTGCGTCGCACCACGCCTTAATAGTACTAATGTCCTTTGAGATAATCTGGTTGGGGAGATTATACGAGGCGACTTGTTGAGTTTTTTAGAAGTAAATTGTGTTACCAGTTACTTCTGGTTTAACCGAAAGTGGCCATAACTTTTGATTTTCAAATAGGACACCCGGTATTTTTTGGGTATTCTGGCATCAGTAGATCATTTTAAGTATGATAGTGTCACAACTACCCGCTTTACGGGGGTGACATGGGGGGTTTGTAGCTTTGGGGGTAGATGGAGAGAAACTCGCTCAGGTTATATAAAAATATATGCTATATATTTTCCCAAATATAACCTTACATGTATGCTAATCCTATAAGATACATGACCCTTTGTACACTGGGGTCCTTATAGGGGGCCACACGTCAATTCTGCTTGGGGGACTGTAGATAAGTTTATCGTCACCCTTATGCCTTGTCCAGAGGGGCGTTCCCAACGAGAGGTAATTGCACTGGACAACGATAAGGCTGAAGATACCCAGAGGGGCGTTTCCAACGAGAGGTACTTGCACTGGGGAGACTTAATTCCAGAGGGGCTTTTCCAACGAGAGGTACTTGCACTGGTTTAAGTCTGCCTTTGCTGCGGCTTGCACCGCAATTTATATCAATTTATTGCTGAATTGCAATAAATATCCGACCGAATCGGCAATTAAATTAATAAGGTTGAATACCGGGTCCTCCTTTCCCAAGCAGCTAGTTGACAATAGGACCGTTTTTGGAAAATTTTTAACAAGAAAAAATAAATTGAATTAATTTTTAGAAAAAACAATTCGGCGCTGCCACTGGTGGAAATTGATTTAGTTGGATATTCAATATCAGGAAAATCTATAACTTCAATTTTTTCCTAACTGAAGGCCATAATTTCAGATCAAAATTAAACAAAGAGGTTTTTTCAAAGTATTCCATATTTTTCAAATGTAACCACGCCGGGACCTATCAATTTTTTGAAACTAGATTTTTTTCCCTATTTTTTGATATTAACATTTTTTAAAATCCGCTAAGAAATAACCCAAAAACTTTTGAAAAATCTTTATTTTTAAATGCAATTTTTTTGGTTTTGTTATAAATCTTTCAAAAATGGTCCTATCATATGTAAAATAATCTGCTGATGCCAGAAAACTCTAAAAATACCGGGTGTCCCATTTGAAAATTAAAAATTATGGCCACTTCCGGTTTAACCGGAAGTGACTGGTAACGCAATTTAATTCTAAAAAACTTAAAAAGTTGCCTCGTTTAAGCTCCCCAAATTTCAAATTTTCAACTCATATATTAAAAAAGTTATAGGTTGTTCCCTATTCCTTGTGTCACCCTGTATAGTAAGTCATTTATTAAATAACAAAAATGATTTGTACTAGGAGTGATCCTTGTGAGACTCCATAGCTGATCTGCTAAATACTTCGAGGAGAATTCATCATTTGCAGTGACACACTGACTTTGATCAGACAGATATGATTCAAACCACTCCAAAAGTTCCTCCATGAAACCCATAAACCTCCATTTTCTCAACATCGTCCGGCGACTCACACAGTCAAAAGCGTTTGAGAAGTCACCAAGGGGAGTTTCACTCATCCAGTAGGTGTACAAATATCATACATTCATGTATATGTAGTCCATACATTTTTCTGCAGTCCATACATTCTCATGCAGTCAATGGAATACATGGTATCATGCAGTCATGATACAGTCGCATGCAGTCATAATACAGTCGCTAGTAATCGTCATAAACTCTGTGCAGTTCGAGGTGCAGCTCGGAAGTCACAGAACGATCCTGCGGTGGCATAGCCATTGTTGCAATGTCTAAAGAATTTTTCCATCACATGAAACATAGCATCATGCCTTTTTTTGGTAAGAAGCCAAATTGAGTGGGATTTAATAATATTATGCTCAGATAAGAAGTCCACTATGTGTTTTTTTACAAGCTTTTCAATCACCTTTGAGAGCAAAGTTTTGGTGTAATAAATAGGGCTGAAAACAAGAGTAAGGAATATTGGGGGATTATTAACGAAATTAGGGGTAAAAAGACAAAATCAGAGAATTTAATTGATATTCATCCTCAAAAGCTAAATTCATTCTATACTTCAATTGCTCAAAAATTGACTCAAAACTTGTCTTCTAATATCGATCCTGTAACTTATTTGCCACAGATATTACATGCAGTAAAATTTCAGTTCAGTATGACAAACAAACGGGAAATTATAAAGATTTGCAATATGATTAAAAAACAAAATGCTTCTGGGGTGGATAACATCTCAATCAAAATTATCAAAAAATTGCCAGGAAATGCCTCGGAAGCCCTTGCAGATTCGATAAACTGGTCCCTTACTAAAGGAATTTTACCTGACTGTCTGAAGACTGCAGTAGTCATACCCATCTTTAAAGGAGGAAGCAGTGATAATCCATCAAGCTATCGCCCCATTTCTTTACTCAGTACGATATCCAAAGTGATGGAGAATATCGTTAAGGAGCAGCTAATGTACTATCTAAACTGTCACAACATTTTAAATAAAAACCAGTTTGGCTTTCAGAGTTCAAGGAGTACAAATGATGCCATCTTTGCGTTCTTAGAATAAGTTTATATAAGTCTAAACGACAGAGAGGTCGCTGCGGCAGTGTTCTGTGATTTTTCAAAAGCGTTTGACTGTGTGGATCACGGAATACTGCTGCAGAAACTTCATCATTACGGCATCCAAGGAACTTCGTTAAATTGGTTTAGCTCAATGCTTTCAGAAAGGCAGCAACTTGTGCATGTTAATGGGGTTTATTCTGAAAGGAAGAGGATAGTGCAGGGAGTTCTGTCCTAGGACCAGTATTATTCCTAATTTACATCAATGATCTTCTCTCGTTGACGATTTCAGAAAAGCTGTCAGCTTTTGCTGACGATACTAATGGATACTACTGTGGACTTAAAAAAATACAATCCAGAGTTTAGTCCAATTTAAATCTACTATCGAAGCTGATCTACTGGAAATAAAGAAATGGTGCGATTCAAATAAACTGTGCTTCAACAGTCAAAAAACCAATATTCTAACATTCAAGTGCAGTGTAACAGAAATTAAGCTGCAGGATGAAACGGTAGAGAATAAGCCAAATGTCAAATACTTAGGACTCCATATTGATGAACATCTTAAATTTGAAAATCATATTGACTGCCTAAATCGCAAACTGGCTAGTGCATGCTACATTATCCGAACTGTGGTACATGAACTTGGCAAACCAAATGCCAAAATAGCATACTTTTCTTTATTGGAGTCACATATATAAAATTAAAAAAAAATCCGGTACAGCGATTAATAACTCTATTATAAATTCAAATATTGCGCAATAATTTTTTTTCAAATGGATCGAAGATATTTGACGTTTAAGTTACGCCTCAAAAAATTCAATTTTATCTGTAAATTTTGGACTTTAAATCTAATAAAAATTGAGCACTTTGAATTAATTTAAATTTATTCAACGTTTGGGTCACGTCACAATTTTATTTCAGTAGTTTTTTAAATTTATGATGACCAACACATTTAAAAATATTCTATGTATGTACCTAATGTACCAGTATTTACCCACCGCATAGGTTGCTAAGCCAGACTTTTTTATTTATTTTTCTCTGGCTCAAATTTAGTGACATTAGGGACCTATCAAAAATCAAGTTAAATAGCTTAATTTTATTTCATTTATTTATTTTCTTCACTATTTCAATGAATTTTGGAAATAAAAGGTTGCATGGCCTACACAAGCACAAATACGTTTTTTTTGTGAAATGAGAAACAATTGACAATATAAAAAGAATTCTGAATTTAGGAAACTCTAATCATAATTATCTAACACAAATATATAAATTACCTACCTATATTCATTTTCAGCTTTTCAAATTTTGAACATCAAACGAAATTAAAACTCTAAAAATTGGAAACATTTACATTTAAAAATTCAAAGAGTCTAAAAATTGAAAATAAAATAGAAAATGTAGCACTTTTGCTATAGGAAGTATTGAGAAATTTTAAAAAATCAGAATTTGAATAGAAATAGAATTCTTGATGATAAATAACTTTGAACATTTTGAAAACTAGTCAATGCTTGAGACAGCGAATTTAGTATAAAATCCTTCAAAAATTCACAGTTTTATTTTCCAAATTGGATCCAGAACTTTGGTGGTTCTAAATTAAAATGTTATCGAATCAAACATTTCCGAAAAGTTCCAATTTGACTCTGATGTGGTATTATATTAAAATTTAAAATTTTTGGGAATAGCTTACTAGGATTTATGACCTCCAAAATTTAAACATTAAACGTTAAAAAAAAAAATAATAATAATAATAATAATAATGATAAAACTTATTTTGATACATAATGTTGAAAATTTTGAATTTAAACTTTTAAGAAGTAGGATTATGATGAATTATACCTATTAAGAGAAAACTTCTAGGAAAACCAACATAATATTATAGAAGTTCATTTTATAATATAGGTAAATTATCAATTTGACATTACACATTCAGAAATATGATATTTGATGGATTTACCACAAAACCAACTATAATGTGGATACCTTTTTTGGGTTACATGTGATACTTGAATACCCATTACGAATATTGTCTACAGGCAATGCAAATAATTTGCCACAACTCTTACACAAAGGAAAAAATTATTCTTTATCAAATATTTTTAGTTCATAATAATTACGTTTTTCAGTTTTCCTGAATTTGAACTTATAATATCTTTCAAAATATTTGAGAATAAATGATCTACATAGGTATTGAGGAGAATTAACTGGAATTGAATCATCAAAATCAAGTACCTATATGCATAAAATACTAGAATTATACTATCGCACTGCACAATAGGTTATTTTGATTTAAATAAGGACGCAATCTGCCACAGATTTTGTTTATCAAGAATTATTTATCGCTGGAGTCCAGCTTTCTGTAGTCCGAGGGAAATGTCAAGCCAAAAAATATCACCCTTTATAACATTATTATTCCAATACGAATTAACCAAAGTTCATTGACTAATAATGTCCCAATTTAGTTGCGCAATTCGGAGGTTATATTAAATAAAGCAAACGCACTCAGAATCAGCAAAAAAGCTTAAAGCCAACAACCTAGGTTTTAGGTCAATGATTTTTGCTGACAATTCTGAATCGATTTGGATCGATAAAGCGTAATTTTCAAGTTAGTTGTAAATCTAAATTCGGGCGCAAAAGTTGTGCTACGGGCTACAGAAAGATGGGTCTCTGGTAAGTACAATTATTCAACATTTATAAATCATGTCTTAGTGTTTTCAATGTTCTCATTGGTTGCTTAATCAATCCTTTAGTTGTAGTAAATAAACTTAATTATTTTTAATGTTTTGGAACTTATTGTTTTAATTCATTAAAACCCCAAAAGATTCCAAACCCCGAGTCACAGCAAAATAGGCTCGTGACAATATGGCATAGCTTTCTGGGGTTACTAAACCCAAAAGTCACTTCAAGCAGTGTTTGTTCTGCAAAAAAGAGCGATTCGTTACCTTTGTAAAAAAAGCTGTAGAGAATCATGCAGACCATTGTTTGTGCAGGAGGAAATTTTGACTGTGCCGTCTCTTTTTATTTTGGAATCTGTGAGTCTTATTTTTAAAAAATTCTCTGGTTTCGTTCAAACTCCTAACTATAACCTGCGTCAGGATAATTTGCCGTTGCTAGTACCTAGATTTACTCTTACAAAAAATTCAGTTATATACGAAAGTATAAAAATGTTTAATCATCTACCTCAACAAATAAAGAACTGTAACAGATATGATATATTTCGCTCATTAGTCAGGCAACATCTAGTCACTAAAGCTTTTTATAGTCTTAAGGAATTTTATGATCATGTGTGTTAGGTAGAGGATCCAATTGGAAAATAGGGTATAATTTTTATAGGTTTTGGTACATGTTGAGTTATAGAATACAATGCGCTGAGTGCGTCTTGGCCTTCCCTTCACAAAAAATTTTGAATTTTTAAAAAGTTTTTGGAATTATAATTTGTTTTTTACTTTTATCACATAGATGTTTTTCTCTTTGTTGTTTGTTTTTTATATCGTTTGTTTTTTATTTTATTTTTATACTGACGACCAAAAAGTTAAATTTTATTAAGTATTCTGTTTTTTTTTTCTTAAAGTTTTTATTTTTGTTTATTAACCTAATTTGCACCATAAGTTTATAGTTTGAACTAGTGATTTGATTTGTGATTTTTGTGTCTTTTTTAAGGTTCATATTTTTGGTAAAATTTTGACTTAATTTACTTAGAATTAACTAGTATGTAATAAGAATTTTGCTTTGTCAATGAAAAACAATGGTATTTTTTGGACAATAGAGCCCATTTTGATTTGATTTGATTTGAAAGATCTTGGTCGGTAATTTGACGGATCTTTGGTATCACTGTTCTTGTGGATTATTACTACCAATGCCCGTTTCAGAGTGGTTGGAAAGGGGCCAGAAGTGAAGGAGATGTAAATGATTCATTGATTCACAAGCCATCAACATGGCTCATCGGACAACATTCAATTCAAGGGATGAAGTAAGTTCATTGGCAACATTGAAGTAAAAGTTTTTCACTATATCGGGTTTGATATTGATGTCCTGTAGCAGTCCTGTAGCTTTCTGCTACTTTTTCCTGTAACTTCCCTGACAATGCTCCATGTTTCTTTAGACTTATTTGTGCTCCAGGATGCCCAAAGTTGATCCGTGCTGTGTCGCACGCCTGCGCCACCAGTATAGCCCCATATAATTTTGAATTTTATTCAAGAACTGCATTATTTTGTTTAGTCACAAACCAATGTAAAAATAGCTCATATGAGATGATGTCACAAACGAGGGTTGTGTGATATTGCCAGATAATTTTTCCGACGTGTGTAATGTGAACATAATTATATTAATATGTAGTTCAATAGTGATTGCAAACAAGGAGCTGAAAACAATTCCAAGTAAAACTCTAATATTTATTCATATTTTTGCTTATTCAGTTGCTGGCTATATCGCGTTCAAATGCTTTATCAAGTTCAAATGCTATTATATTGAATAGCATGTGGTCTATTTAGCAGTAAAATCTATTCTACCGATCGATTGGTCTAATAGTCATATAGTCTAATCTGCCGAATGGTTGGCAAAATGGTCACTCCCATATATAAACCTTGGTTCAAGCAGATACCAAAATACTTACTTTAGGTGTACGTCCTTCTCGGAAAAGTACAGAATGGTCTATCTCTGAGGGTTGGGTAGTATTGTATTCAAAGCCAGTTTCTTGAATGTTCCACCAATGAGTACCAACGAAATTGGCATAATGGCCAAACTGTAGGGTCAGTATTTCACGAGAGCTCATTTTGGAGTATAAATAATTTAAGTTTATTTAAAAAAATTCTATTCTACATTTACATTTTGATATAAAATTTTAAAAAATATAAATATAAATAATGACTTGAGAAAATAATTTAGAAAAAGGATGTTCTGGCAGGGACCCGGACCGAAATGAAATATCGGTTCCGTTCCGGTTCCGGTCCACAGCGTCATGACGAATATCGGTTCCGTTACGGTTTCGGTTCTAAGAGAAATATTTCGATTCGGTTCGGACCAATAATTTCGGTTTTAACGGTTCATACCGGTATAGTTTTTCACAAATATCTTATGGCCATTTGCACTGACCATTTCAAGAAACATCCCTTAAAACGGTCATTACAGAAAAATTTATGTTTCTATAATTTGTGGTTTGTGTTTTCGATCAGTGATGACGTAACAGCGTGTCGTTTCTCGCCTTGACGTAGTGCTTGCACCAGTTGCACCACGGATTAGGAGGTGTTTTCTCGCGTCTCAAAGTTTCGAAACATTTTCCAAAACTGGTTTAAATCAGTTTCACAATGACGTCATCATTTCTCAGCACGAGGAAATGGTTTTGAAACGTGGATTGGATTGTATTTCGAAACGGTTAGAACCATAGTACATTATTTATTATTCTAAAACAACCCTTGTTTAGATCTCATTTGCTCATTTGCATCTTCAACTACGAACGCAAACCGCTAACGAGACCGTTGATGACGTCGGCAACGGTTCAACAACATATGAACTTGATTCCAAAAATCGAAGCCGATGAGCAACCCTGTAGTAGTATGTAAAATCCTTGGTGTGTAGCCTAGCCGAGTTCAGAAATGCGCGCTGTCCAATGTCCAACGCTCTGTTTTTTAAAGTGTTAATTTTATTATGATACAACCAAACAGCAAAACAGCTTAATTTATAAAATCTTGGAACCGAAAAAAACCGGTAAGAACCGATTAATTTATATCGGTTCCGGTTCTGCCTGCCCTACAACATTTCTATGAAATATGGGTTTTGTTCCGGTTCCGGTCCGCAAAAAAAAAACGGTTTCGTTCCGGTTTTCGGTCCAATATCGTTCCGGTCCGGGTCCCTAGTCTGAAGCACCCGAAGCACCGCCGCGGCGGTTTGATAGGTGGCTCAAGGACGGGATAGCCTATCTTCATAAGGCCTGTGTGGAACGAATCTGAAGCCCCCATCACGCCAAATCACCAGTTGTGAGGTAGCAGCTTGTCGTTTCTCTCCTTGACGTAGGTTGTTCGCACTAGAGGTTATGATTCCGCGGGCTTTTGCCTTATGCATACTTGGTTTTACTACATTAATTAACATTCTAAAACAATTCCTTTTTAGATCTCTTTGCATCTTCCTCTTTGCCTGCTATGTCAATCAAAATTAAATAATAATTTTCTTCATAAATTTAAATTTTAAACTACGACCGCTAGTGCAAACAGCTGAAGACTTAGTAATGACGTCAGAAATGGTGACACACCAATATGGCGGCAATTACCAAAAACGAGACCGATAAAGCAATCCTTAGTAGTGTGCCATGACTTGTGTTGTTATCCTTGATTGAGCTCAAAGCCCTACCAACGACATTTTTATAGAATTTGTTGGTTAGAGCAAGTAAGAACGGTTAGAGTGGAGTAGAGGGCACAAAACACCAAAAAGTACCTTGTTTTGCCGCCACATTTTCAAAGCTGGATTGAATATTTATGATAAGATCAGTGATAATCAGTTAGAAAAAGTTTAAAGGGCTTGTCACAGTCCTTTGACTTGGCTGCCAGCAGTCTCTCTATACTGAAATGATCAGTAATTTACTGTTTACGAATAAAAAGTTAAGCTAGCCTAATTTCGCTATATTACCTAACGTTAATTGCAGAAGTCCTTAGCAGAGCCACTTTCCAGTGAAAAATTTTAAGTTGCTCCACAACCGTAGCTTCACACTCTGGCGCTCCAAACAACTGTTGTTTGCAATGGTTGTTTGTTTCACTGGAAGGCACCACACCCTACTTTGCGTCGTGTTTTTGATGCACCCATGAAATTACAGGTTCTTGGGGGGCAGGGGAGTGGAAAAACGAACAGTTCAGTTGCGCGGAGAAAGCACTGGAACGCCTATAAACAGCCCAGGGCGCTCTAGAGCAGCTCAGGAATGCTTTAAAGTGCGTTATTGGAAAACGACTCTGATCACCATCCTCATCACGGTTTGATAGTTATCGAACGCAACCCCAGACAGACAACAGTCACTTTTGTCTTGAATGACTTGAGTCAGTTTGCACAAATAGGGATGTTTATATCGAAAATATTTAAAATTAATATTGTATCGAGCGTTTGATATATCGTTGAAAAATATCGATATTTCGATATATCGACAAAAAAATTAAATGCCCAATGAGTGGTCGGTTCCTCAATAGTAAGTTACCTTCGGGTTGGTTTTAACTCCAGTGCGGTAAGCGTATCCAGTTGCTGTGTTTACCCTGGAGTTAAGCTTAACCAGGGGGTGACTTGCCATTGGGAAACTGGCCCTAAATAAAAGTATTATTTTATTTCTGTACCTGTACCAGTTATACCGTAAAAGGTTTTTTTTTTACAAGCAAGTTATGAATAAACAAAATATTACAAAAACGAATATTTTTCATTTTCATTTGTTCTGAATGTGAATGTCTAATGTCATTGCTTGTCTACAACTGTCACTAGGTCACTATAGAAAGTTTTTTTTTTAAATATTTCTGTGATACCGCTCCACTTGCTCTGGATCGCTCGAGATTAAACCTCTTAATCGAAATTATTGCCTTAAAAAGTTCTTAGAGCGTAAAGCAGTGAATTTATTTTGATTGTGGTCGATAAATATATCGAGTACCGATAGTCAACTTTAAATATTGATATACCGATATATCGAAACAAAAAATTTCGGTCGATATTATCGATATATCGGAAGAAAAATATCATCCATTTGATATATCGATATTTTTTTACATCCCTATGCACAAAGTCAAACATGTAAACAAATATTACATATTCATATTATTAATAATTCATCATTTTCATGTTCGAAATTTTAAGAATTCTCAATTCGCAATTATAATTGGAATGTATAAATATGAAAAGAAAACTAAAATATATCCTAACAATTCTATGGTTTGCCTACCTGATAACCGCCTCGATACTCCTATTCAAAAAAGGATTTTTGTTAACCCGGGAAGTCCAAGATAAAAATGCAACTTGTTCGCTACTAGCACCACTTGAAAGGAATTGCCCTTCAGCCCATGATGAAAGTGTTGATTGTATTTCAAATGACAGGATATTAATGCAGTCTTTATTCGACAATGCAAATAGTTTTTGTTACAAAACTAATACCAAAGTTATATTGCTTGTTGTTGATGCTTTACGCTATGACTTTACAGTGTATGATGAAGAAAATTCTGATCCTTTGCCATATGAAAATAAACTACCAGTTATCAGGAATGTTTTGAAAGAATTTCCAGAGAGTTCTCATTTGTATAAATTTATTGCCGATCCGCCTACAACGACTATGCAAAGACTGAAGGCATTAACAACAGGAAGTCTTCCCACTTTCATTGACGCTGGTTCCAATTTTGCTACTTCAGAGATAAACGAGGATAATATTATTGATCAGGTAAAGTGAATATCGAAGTAGGAATAGTAGGATTCAACTAAAGTCTTGCATCTGAATATGCTTTATCTTTTAGCTCCATCCTTCTTTGAGGGGTGTAGTAATATATATATTATAATTTCACACCCTTAATTAATTTTAGAGGAGTTTAGATATTAGGTATTTGGTCTACATACAAGAGTTCTGTAGTTCTCAGAGGGTTACAGTAATAGTTCTGCAGGTATTCATTAGTCTTAATGAAAGTGAGCTTGTCGCCATTATGTTTTGTGATTTCTCAAGCCTTTGATTGCGTAAATCATAAAATAATGCTTAAAAAGCTAGAAATCTATGGCTTGGGAGGAATCTCATACTCATGGTTTGAATCTTATTTCTCAGGAAGGGAACAATTTGTTAAGATTGGTGATACTCGGTCAAGAAACTTAGCTGTTACTAATGGTGTTCCACAAGGATCTGTGTTGGGACCAATATTGTTTTTTACTTTATTTAAATGATATTAGTCACCTCCCCATTGGGGCTAATATCATTCTCTGATGACATTAGGTACTCTGTTCTGGAAAGGAAAAAACTCGGGAAAAAAATATTGAAGAGTTGAAAAAGAATATTTCTGAAGACCTAAATCTTGTAAGGAGCTGGTGTGACTAACTTGCTTTGTTTTAACTCTAAGAAAACCAACATATTGTCATTTAAATTGTTTTTGATAATTTAATATTAGACACACACACAACTGAAAACAAGACAAGCTGTAAATTTCTTGGTATTCATGTGGATACTCAACTTAAGTTTAATGAACACGATACAAATTTGAACCAATGATTGGCAAGTGGTTGCTATGCTGTAAGAATAGCGTCGAATGAACTTGGTTTAAATACTGCTAAGTTGCTTTATTTCTCGTTGGTTGAATCATATATCAGGCATCGCATTGCATTTTGGGGTAACTGTTCTAATAAATTGTTTAATTCTGTTTTTGTCATTCAAGAGCAGTGTGTAATTTGTGTAAGGTTGGATATTGGGAGCATTGCAAGCCACTATTTTTAAAACATAAAATACTCACAGTATGCTGTATATTCATCATGGAAACTGCTTGTCTTATGCACAAAACATTATGATGAGTTAGAATATCCAAGAGCTTATCCTCGAGCTTATTCAACTAGGCAACAACTTAAAATTTAGCTCCCTATACCCAAGACCGCATTGACGCAGAATTCACTTATTTATGAAAGTAGGCAAATTTAACTTAAGGCAGGTAGGTGGTTTTAAAAAGTTTAGACTAGAGACAGACAATGAAAAATTTTAATTTTGTTTGTTCCATTGTTTTGTTTTGTTCTGACCGCAACCTTTATGTTTCTGTATTGGTTGTACCTGTTAGTAGTGATTGTACCTGTGTTGCTTAGGATTATGCTTTGACATTTATGTTTATGTTTATTTTTTATTTTTTTGGTTGTACCTTTTTTTTATGACCTGATAATTTTATATTACTTGCACATTACTTAAGGTCATGCTTTGTCAATGAAATTTATTTTTCAACAATAAAGTATATTTTGATTGAAATCAAGTTAGAACTACCATCGTCATCCGATATTCCTACAGAAGTTTTATTAAGTAAATAATATGTCGCTTTTTTGTCGTGCAAAAAAAACGTCGCCTCTATTAGGATAAAAATCACTGAAAATTTCAACTTTCTATCTATAATAAAAAAAAAGTTATGACCTTTCAAAGTTTCCAGAAATCTAAATCCTAAGGTTTGCCCGGCACAGTTCTTTAGCATTCGGCTATATATATGACCCAGTAGGCTTAATCCACTTGGAATCACATTATGCAGCTGACATCCGACAGCAAATCATAATTCAACCATTTCTGCTGGCATTTGGTAGTGCCCACTGCTACACTTACCTTAAATAGTATAATCGTGCAACAAATGGGATCCTAACCTATTATGGCGCGTACAGCTTCCCCAGGGGACACCAATTACCAAAAAGAAATAATCAAACCACGAATTGTTGTCCTGGATGTCAGTGAAACGCAACTTCAATTGGTAAAAAATGGTAATCATTTAAAGAGGAAGTTATTGAAAATATTTACGGCCAAATGCTCAAAGCCCAATACCAAATTTGCTCAACTAGAAGTAGCTTACCAAAGTTCTGATTTCTGTACCTATCACCTCTAAAAAAGCAGCAGGTGAATTTCTTTGGAAAGTTTATATACTGAGTGTGATATAGCATATTATATGCGAGTCAAATACAAAACTTTATCCACAACTGTCAATAAATTTATTTATTTATTAACGGGCAACGCCCAATTACAATATGTGTTAAACTTTAAATTCACACAAATTTAAAACTAAAAGTAATATAATAAGATTCAAACACATACAAGGACTTATTTAACGAAATATATTATGCACTTGACACAGGAAAGCATTGTATGACGCGAGGAAGTCGATTTGGTGGTGTTGATTGGCTAGTCTAGCAGTTCTGGAAATAAAAGTATTATTTCCGTAATTGGTACGGTGAGTAGGTTAGTGAAAACTGACAGTTGCTCTGGTGGTTCTCGTAGGGACATGGATACCAATCTTATGAAGAATATCTGGAGCTGCAACTTTACCATGTAGAATTTTATAGAAAGTTATAAGATCTCTTCTCTTGTGGCGAGCACTTAACGGCACCATGTTTAACATAGAAAGTAAATCAGAATCATTGTAATTTTCTTACATATTCAGTTTAAACGCAATTTGTTTTAAAAATTTGTGCTCGACCTTTTGAACAGATTCCATACGTACACCATAAAAAGGGGACCAAACGCAAGAGGCATACTCAAGATGGGGGCCTACCAGGGCGCAATATAAAGTTTTCAAGGCAGTAGTGCTAGTAAAAACCTGGGTGCTTCGCCTGACGAATCCCAGCATCTGAAAAGCTTTGTTAACAGCATTGTTCAATGATTAGAAAAATGAAGGTTCGTATCCAATGAGACCCCCAGGTCTTTGACAAGGGAAAAGTTTTCTAGGTTGTGCTTACCGATTCGGTAAACAAACTTTAAAGGATCTCTTGCACGAGAAAAGGTGATAGCCATGCATTTAGAAGGGTTGAGATCCATTCCGTTTCTATTGCACCAATCAAGCAAGTTATTAAGGTCATATTGGAGTTTATCACAATCCTCGGGGGATTTAATGATGCAAATCAGCAAATAGCAGAAAAATACAAGAGGCAAAACATTCATGAATGTCATTAATATAAACATTGAAAAGGAGCGGGCCAAGGTGCGACCCTTGGGGCACCCCGGAAGAAACCTGTATAGACTTTGAAAGATAATAGCCAATTTTGACAAACTGTTTGCGACCAGCGGGCCGATCCTCGAGCCAGGGATTAGAGCTCCTCGAGAGAACAAATTTTTTGTTTTTATGATTCTCATTTACTTTTCGATTACATTGACAAAGACAAAACATTCGTTCTATCGGGGAGTTCTTCTCCCTGGCCCGAAGATCGGGCTTCTGGCAAGTAAGTATGAAACCAAGAGATCATGGGTTCATTGATTCCAAATAATTTCAGCTTGTGTAATAACAACTTATGGGAGACTCTATCGAATGCCTTGGAGAAGTCCGTGTAAATTGTATGCACCTGATGCCCTGTTTCCAAGGCGTCCAGCAAAAAATCTATTTGTGTAAGAAGATTTAACTCGGTAGATTTGCCCGATCTAAAACCGAACTGTTCTTTAATTAGTTGTGGCTCAATTAGGGGTGTCAGAAAGTCACACACCAAGCCCTCAAATACTTTAGGGATTGTACTGATTATACTTATAGGCCGATAATTCGTTACAGATGTTTTATCACCTGATTTGAAGATAGGTTTTAGAAAATTCTCTTTCCAATATTCAGGGAAAACTCCAATTTGAAGGAAAAGGTTGAAGATATGGAACAAAGTTCTGGAGAGATTAAAGCAGCATTTTTTTAGAAAAATAGGGGGTACCCCATCCGGTCCAGGGCCCTTGTTGATGTCAAGAGTGGAAAGCTTAGTATATATATCAGATATGGTAATAAGATTAAAAAATTATAAAATTATAAAAGAATATTGAAATACTAAAGAGTGCTATCCAGATCTTCGAAAAAAAAAAACACATTGAGAAAAAACGTTTTGGCTTCAAGGGGTATCAAATACAGCTTTGATGCTGAGAACTGGTGTTTTTCGAGTAGTACCCCTGAGTTCTAGATTTGGAAAGAAATTTAAAAAAAAAGAATATCACTTTGATGCCGAGAAGTCTCGTTTTCCCAGTTTGCAAGCCTGAGTTCCAGTTATACAAAGTAATTTTTAATAAATGAGTTTTAGAATACCAATAGTTCTAGCTTTGGAAAATAATGTGTGCCTTTTATGTTGTTTTGTCTAGAATTATATCTAATTTTATCAAGAACTATAGAACTTATAGTGCGTAGACTAAGAAATGTAATCAGAACTCCTCTAAAAACAATTAAGGGTGCAGCATGAAGTTCACACTCATATTTTTGTTTTTTAAAAATTTTCAACTTTTACTGTAAAACGATCACTGAAACCCTCTGAAAACTATCGGAGGTAGGCCAAGATTGTCATCAGAACTTCTCTGAAATCAATAAGGGTGCAGCATGAAGTTAGCACCCCTATTCTTGTTTTTTTAAAAAATTCAACTTCTAAAACTATAGAACTCTTTCTAAAAGGGCAAGAACGCATAGAAAAATTGAAGGTGCTACAATTTAGGGTGCTTACTATTCACGGGTTTTTATACCCCCCAAAAAAAATCACATTTTATTTCAAGGTTATCAAAAATGCAGGAAAGGTCATTTTTATGGGTGACGATACATGGGCTAACTTGTTTCCAAAAAGATTTCTAAGGAATTACCCATATCCTTCTTTTGACGTTTGGGATTTAGATACAGTGGACAAGGGAGTGATGTCAACACTTATTCCAGAACTTAAGAATTCCGACTGGAATTTTTTGATAGGTCACTTTTTAGGGGTGGATCATTGTGGACATAGATATGGTCCAAACCATCCAGAAATGACTAGGAAATTATCAGAAATTAATAATGCAATTGAGTGAGTAACTTGATATTATATTATTTAATTAAGTGAGTAGGTATCTGTATGAAATTTCACTTGTGAAAATCCCTCGGAAAATCCACTTTCTCAAAAAAATTCAATAAATATTAAGATTTCTTGGCAATCTTTGAATCTTCGCGATTCCCAATTTAAGGGATTTATAATGTTTGCTATGCTATAAGTCTCAGTGATATCTAAGATTGCTGCAAAAATTTCCATGATTTCTGTAAGGAATGCGGGACTGCCTGAGCCTGAGGGATTGTTAAATCATTGAGGAAATCTAGAATAAATTTAATGTTTAGAACATAGTGGGTAGTTAGGGTCAAACCAATTTGCAACCTTCCATTGTACTGTACTTGATAAATCACTGATGTATATATACAGGGTGTTAATAAATAGTGGGATCAAACTTCTAAGCTAAATAGTACTCATTAAAATAAGAAAAAAGTTAATAGAAACATGGGTCCGCGAATGCTTAGATTTCAAGATACAGGGTGTCAAAGTTTAAAAAAAAAATCGGTTTTTTAGCTCAAAAATCCTATCCCAATTTTTTTTTTTCAAATTTGGAGGGTTTGTGATAACAAAAGGTATCTTTTGAGTTTTGACTGTGATATGACCTAATCTGCAAAAATATCAAACTTATAAAAAAATAGTGACATGCCATTTTTTTCTACTTTTACTAACGTAGTTGTCCGCGGGGCGCCACTGGAATAATTACGGTAAATCTAATTGAATCAAAAGACATCTTTCGTCATTATTACAAACAAATCTGCCAAGTTTGAAGAAATTCGGGAAACGGATTTTAAAAAACCGATTTTTTCAAACTTTGACACCCTGTATCTCGAAAACTAAGCATTTGCGGGTCTATGTTTCTATCAACTTTTTTCTTATTTTAATGAGTACTATTTATCTTAGAAGTTTGATCCCATTATTTATTAACACCCTTAGTCTTTGTAAAGTCAATTGAAACAAGGTTAAAATAAATTGCAACTGGTGGCTGACTAGTGGCAGTGCATTTCTTATGAAAGTATTCAATAACCAGTTGTGGTTTACCCGAGGATTTACCTTTATCTTGTTTCAACTGACTTTAAAAAGACTATAACAATACATTTTTTTGTTTGTTTTAGGTATGTTATGACAAACATGGATGATGATATGATCCTTTTTGTTATTGGGGATCATGGTATGACTGTCACAGGTAACACATACAATACACAAAACTAATTCAAATAAAATTTGATCTTATTTAGGTGATCACGGTGGTGAAAGTCTAGATGAAACAACAGCAGCAATGTTTGTTCACTCCAAACAATCCCTTTTACCTTTCGATAGGCAAAAACGAGCCGTCAAACAAGTTGATCTTGTTCCTACCCTATCTGCATTACTGGGCATACCCATACCTTTTCAAAATTTAGGTATTCTAATAAAAAGTGCCTTGCCTATGCCTAATTATAAAACAGGCCCAAACTATAACACTTGGCAATTACCATTATTTTGGTTGTGGGGTAATCTAGAGCAGGTTATAAATTATATTAGAGAATATTCAAAAATGTCAAGTATATTTGATGAAGAATATTTGAAGATGCATTTTGAAACATACGAATCTTTGCGTGAAGAATTACCTTCTATAGATTCTGAAGAGAAATTTCTAAAATTTAGCAAAAAGGTTGAAGAATTTTTAATTAAAATCCGAACTCTATGTGAAGAAGTTTGGATTCAATTTGATGCTTTTTCAATAAGTAATGGCCTCACATTTTTATTTCTATCCATATTTTTTATGTTCATTATAAGCGATGGTATACCTTTAAAAGACTTGCCATTAGCTATTGAAGGCTCTTTTGTTATAGTTTGCATTATAGGATTGATATTTTCTGTTATAGCTGTCGCTGTATTAAGTTTTTCTGATATTATCGGAGATTCACTTTATAGCAGCATTTTAATAACAAATATTTTATCTCACTTGATGTTTTTGTTACCCTTGATTCAAAATTGGGGCGTGATAAGCTTTAATTGGCACACAAAAAACAAAACTTATGGAATTATAAATTTCATGTGCAGATTTGTTTTGATTTTTAGTGTTGCTGGAGTATTTTCCAATAGCTTTATCAATGAGGAATCTTCAGTATTATTGTTTTTATTAGTCACTGTTATTCTCCTAAATATATTAGGGATTGCTTCTTTTCTTAAAAATGAATCTAATACCAAGAAGAAAAATTCTGACACTATATCAATGGGACTTTTTTTGAAACTAGCCTTTGGAGCAGTTGTTATTTTAGTTTTACTTAGGACTTCAATGTATTTTTGGCGATGTCGAATAGAACAAGAGTGGTGCTTCAAAGGCTCTAATAGTGAAATTGGTAATAATTATAAATCTGAGTCGTCAAAGCTTCAATGGTGTTACAGTGTCGTCTCTTTATCTTTAATGTTAAGTTTAATAAGAATGTGGCTTAAAAAGTGTGGGAATTTGAATGGAAATTTAATACCGGAAATTTTTACTAAATTAATTCCAAATGTTATTCTTGTTTGCATAGCTGGATTTTGGGTTTTGCAGAAATTGTCAGGAAATACTAGTTCTGTTTCTAGAATGAGTAACTATCTTGCTTTATCTGTGTATTGTTTAACTTTTATCTCTTTAACAGTATTATTATTCAAGCCTCTCTGCGTTAGTATAATATTTACAGGCAACGATGAACATTCAAATGTGATTTCAAATATTTTTAATAAAATCAAAGGAACTTTGAACAAGAAAAATAATGATAATGGTGCTCCAATTGTGTGTGGTTTGGGCACTGCCTATAGCGCAGTCTACATACTAATAAGTATTTATTTCACATTTTTGTTTGCCCTAGTTTTAGGGAATGTATTTGCCTTTTCTGTTGTTATTATGATAGTGGTAGGATCATTTTTCTTGTTGGCAACTTCAATTTTGAGGATTAAAATGGCAGAAACACCTGGTGAGTATAGAACTTTTTCAAATTTCTGATCTCTAGATAAAAGTGGTTTATATGATATACCTATATCTACATATTTTGCTTATTTGAAGGATAATCTGTCTTATTTTGATCACTGACGTACTTTTTAAGAGAAATTTACCAATTCTAGTTTTTTACCACCTATCTCAAGTTTATTATTTTTTCCAGATGATCTACTAAATGTTCCTACTATAGCCATACTTGGCTGGATCCTGCTTTCTCAATATTTCTTTTTTGCCACTGGTCACCAGCCATCTTTTCCGAACGTTGCCTGGGAGTCAGCCTCCATTGGAACCTCAGGGCTTATTACCAACACTTACGTTTTAGGCGCCCTTATAATCTTGAATACTTTTGGGTCCTACATGTTAGCAGGAATGTTATTACCTTTGCTTGTTATTGCACCATTTACATTGCTTATTCTAATGCCATCTCTAGTAGGAAGACAAAAGGAATTTGCAGGAGGGCCTCAGAAAGGTGAAATGATTTTGTTTGAAAAAGAGAGATTGACTATGTCTACTCTATTTTCCGTTTCTTGTAAATATATTGCTGGACATAGCATTAAGGTAAGTGAAATAATATTTTTAATTCGAAATATTATTAACAAAAAAATCTGCAGGTATTTGCTATTATGTTAGCAGCCACGATTCATTGTCGTCACTTGATGGTATGGAACGTCTTTGCACCAAAATTTATTTTTGAGGCTATAGGACTTTTTGTAACATCAGCTTCAGTATTATTGGGTTTTTTAATTTTCTTAAGAGTGCATTCTCAGGTAGAACAATTCGTGAACAAACTAAATAAGATGAATTAAGACTGTTAGATTTAAGTCTTACCTGCCAAAGAATAAAATGATTTTAAATAAAGTTTCGTTTTTTATTAAAAAAGAACAACAAAAAAATCAGTTTTATTCAACAAAATTTTGTAAATTTCAAACTTAAATCACAAAATATAAATTTAATAAACCTAAGTCCCAATTTTTGTTACCGTTCCAATTTTTGCCTTGTCTGTCTTTTATCTATTGATTTTATATTTTCTTTAGTTTCCTTTTTAATTTTTGCTACTTCTTTTTCTACTGCTACATTTTTAAATTCAATTTTTTTTTCTTCATCTTCGTCAAATAGAGCATTAACTTCCAGCAGCCTGTTATGTTTTGGTGAAAAACTAAGATTTAATTTCTGCTTGAGATTGTTCTTAGTTTCAAAAATGGATAATAAACCTTTGTCACCTACGTTGCTTTCTTGCGATTCTAATATCCAAGCAGCATTTCTGATTTCTATTTTAAATCGCTCTAATTCTTCCATACTAACATTTTTGCTTACATTTAAACCCTTTTCTAAGGGATTTACAATGTATAAAGGACTGTATTCGGGCTTTGCTATCGCAACTGCCTCATTGAGACATATAGCCTTATTCATAAAGTCAAACTGTGCATAATACTCAAAAAATTCAAAGAGCAAAGAATGAAGGGAACTAGTATTTTGTCTTTCAAAATGTAGTTTTTTTATATCGCGTAAAAATGTACCATTTATACCATCTTCAGTTACATAATTATCATAAGGACCTGAAAAGAAAACTTTTAACACCATTAATTAAATATTCCTAAAAACAACAACTTACCTGCTGATTTAACAAGTTGATTCAATGTTGGCAACACCGCAGGCGATCGCAAAGGTTTTTGTAAAAACGCTAAGGCTAATAACGTTAAAGAAAAATTTGTTATCCATTTTCCAGGGGAGTGATTTGTCAAAAAAACTTCTTTAGCCCATTTTCTAATGGTGAAAAGTAATGGTCTAACTCTTGGATCGATTTCGCCCATTAAATATAAAAAATCAGACATATAAACTCCGCTCATATTAGACATAGACAAATCACATTCAACATTAGTAAACTGTTGGTGATATTTAATAATAGGCACTCTTGCTTGTAATATTCTTCTAACTTGTGAACATCCTGGTAAAAATAAATGTATCAGGTCGCCTATAGTTTCCATATTTCTTTGAGCAGTGGATCTTTCTGTTCCTGAAGCTGCTTTACAATGATAAATGAGCCGACTATTATCGTTCTCCTTGTCTTGTGTAAGCCTAACTACAAGATCTAAGTCACAGCTCATTTTCCCAAAACCATTTACAGAAGACCCAAACGGATAAGCACATATATTTGGAAAAAGGCCAGATACTGTGCTTTCTACTTGCTTTGCTGTCAGAAATCTTAATCTTTGACCAACTTCATTTAGTCTCGTTAAGTCATATAATTTATCAATTTGATTTGATACCTAGAAAAATAATTATTGAAAAAAAAAATTCTATAATAATACTAGTTACACACTGTTTCACATTGAGCTAATTCTCTACATAAATCCGTTTCGCTGATAAGTTGGGTGGCATGCTCGGCAGATAGTCTAGCATTCTTATCCTGCTTTAATCTTCCCAATTTTTTACTAGCAGCTCTAAACCATAAAAAGTGTGATGTGGCAGGTATGGATTGGTTTTCTTGAATATGTGTACTGGCAGCAAAAACATTTTTAATGTCTACATCCGAGGCAAATTCCACAATTATAAAATGCTACGAAATATACAATTTTACAGAAATACTAGATTTATTAAAGATGCCTACTACCAGAGGTTCAGGTCCTTCGGAATAATGAAACATATTTTTGACTTTTCCTATCGACTCACAATAAGTGAAGAGTTGTTTATATGACTGTTCAGATTGTACTTGGACTAGAATACTTCTGGCTGCTTGCTCTCTTCTCGATTCTATCATATCCAGGAAAGGTATAAATGTGTTTTGTTCCTTGGATACTTGAAACACAGACAAATAATATTATTAGTGTTTGCGGGTTTGTTCAAACCGAGGTTCCAATACATTTCAAGAACCATTCAGGTATAATTTGAGAATTGTTTCACAAGGATATAACTATTATCGTTAGTAGATTAAAATATGATATTTATATGTTTTCAACAACACAAGTGCATTATGGACTCCAAAAGAAAATCGAACCAACTTCAAGCCAGTTATAGAGAGCGATCTACTTCTGGAGATTGAGGGATGGTGTGATGCCAATAGGCTTTGCTTCAACATACAAAAAAGAAATATAGTGACATTTAGGTGTGCTCTCCTCTAACTGACATCAGACTATAGGACGAAACATTAGAGAATAGAACCACGTTCAAGTTTTTGGGTCTACACTTCCTAGTTAAAGTTTGAGCCTTACATTAAAATTAGTGAATGTCTGCTATATCATTAGAACCATTTCTCATGAACTTGACAAATCAGCAGCCAGACAGACATACTTCCCATTAGGTATTTGAGGCACATGTGAGATATGGAATAGCTTCCTGGGGATACTCTGTACAAACATCAATTCAAACAGTATTTATACTGCAAAAGAGAGCCATAAGGTATCTGTGTGTCTGTGTGACGTGGGCTATATGAAGACCTCTATTTAAGCAAGAGGAAATATTGACAGTACCTTGCATTTTTATTCTTGAACCAGTCAGTACGATATTCAAAAAGTTCCTGGTTTTGTTGAGAGTTTTGAGAGAGCGTATGGCCTTCGACACAATCAATTGTCCCTATACCTATCCCTAAACTTGCATTGACAAAAAATTTAGTTTTTTTATGAGAGCATAAAAATGTTCATTTGCCTCAAGAACTACGAAACATCAACAACTATTGCGTGTTTCATGTGTCAGTTAAGCGGTTTTCTTACTATGGTCTCAAGGAATTTTACAATTACGATGGTTTAAAAATTCGCCGACGTTTCATCCTTCTTCAGGGCTCTTCATCAAATTAGGAGTTTTCGTGAACACTTAACTGTAAAAACTCCACATTGTATATTGTATATAATCATATGCTACATGATTGAAACAAAACAACAGACACTTCAAGACTTAAACTACAAGACAGGATTTCGACGACACCCGAAACGTTGGCGAATTTTTAATCAAGGCTTTTGATTTCTAGTCCTAAACCTCACTATTGTCATCCACTACTTCTAAACCAAGGACGCGAATATCTAAACCGTTATATTTATTTACTTACAGTGGCTGGGACTCTGTAACAACGAATAGAATTTTCTCTATCTCTATTGACGTCCCCTTTCTATTGATTTCGTAAAGAGAGAAGAAGATAGTAAGTGCCATAGCAATAGAGAATGAAGAAACTAAGAAAGGAACGATCTCTATCCGTTACAGAGTTCCAGCCACAAGAATCGGATTGGTGCGGGATTGGAAAGGGATGAGTACACATGTAATACTCGTTTTCGACTTCTTTTCCGCCCCGGCTCGTTACACTCGCCACCCGCTATTCTTGATTCAACCAATATCGCGGAAGGTCCTGTGTACAAAATGTCCAAAAGTTTTAACAAGAGCCAACAATTAAGCCATCGTAACACTTTGCTTGTTTAGAAGAAGGTTAAGAAAATCAGAGGTCTTCAATGAAGAACAGCGGAAAACGCAGATTTTCGGTGTATGCTGCTTGGAAAAAAAAATCTGTAGGAGAGTTTACCACACTTTTCCCTCATAGCCGTCATTTTTTCGAATTTCAGCATAACACCGCAAAAAACTTAAACAAACATACAAGCGACTCATGGCTGGTAAATTAATAGATTGCACGATCGGTCCATGATCGGATGCAGGATCGGACTCTGGTGAGAGTCGGGATGGGCACGTATCGGAAAGGTGTGAACTACACCCCTGTTCAGGTTTAAAAAAAGGACGGTTATAAGAACGGTTCAAAACAATTGCACAGTTTATATTTGAAAGGACTTTGCACACATCTTATGGGTTTCCGGGGACCTGTTAATTTTTTTTTTAAATTTGGTATGTTGTAGTACTAGCAAAAATAAGAATTTTTCATCATTGCACCAAATCGCTAATTATACAGGAAAAACAGGAAATTATTAATCTGGTTAAAGGAATAATTAGGTATAATATTTTTAATGGATTTAATCAATTTGATGCTCAAACCAAAAATATCACAGTTGGCCCTATTTCTAATGTTGTCTATGATATCCCTAACTTCACTGCAAGAGACAGGAGAAAAAGTAAAAATATTAGGTGGAGGAACTATGTGTTTTAAGTTTTGTTCATGTGGAGCGTAGCCCCAATACCAAACAGTGCTAGAAATGTAGGAGCTGTTCCGTTACTTGAGTGAATCGCGAAAATATTTTGGCCTTTATATTGTATATAGAGGTAGCGATATATCTGCAGCGGTAAGCGGACATATCGCTACCGCTACCGTCATATCGCACTGGCATGGGGGATCCTTGAAAATTTACCTCTGCGATATTATAATTAATTATCACACGCTTGATGCTGAATATGTGTGATCATCTCATATCACCGATTTCAAGGAATTGTGATAACTGATGAATTTTGATTAGGTAATTACTCTCAACGACATTTTGGGTCCTGTTTTCGATTTCAAACTGGGTTCAATGTTTGCCAGGAGGAGGCCGGTGCCCCCACTGAAATTTAGCCGGCCCCCCCTGAAAACTTGCTCTCATGTAGGCAACAATGCAATGCAACATCAGCAGCCTCTGTCGGTTAATTCGGTATTCGGTGAGCACAGGCCAAGAATCGTAAACTAACAAGATTGCTGATCCTCATAAGGCGTACGTTCGTCAATTCTTGAGTCGGCATGGCCTGCGAGTGACGTCACTACTAATTAGCAGCATAGCCGCTTATAATGATGACGTCACCCGCAGGCCTCGATGGGATGCTTGCGATTCAGGTTGTGCTTGTTTTTTCGTCGATTTTAAATGTAGAAAAGGTGATTTTAACAGGATTATAATGATTAAGGAATCGTTTTTTTGACCTGTGACCTGTCACTGTTTTAAACTCGGCTTATGCATTTTAGGCCAAGTGTTGAGGTCTTCGGCTGAAATGGCAGACATTTTCAGCTCAAGAAGCAGTCCTATTAGGTTGAGTGTTCTTGAGCACAGGCAACGGCGATGCTGCTTTCGCTTTCCTGGGATTCCCCCAAACATAATAGTGTCGAGAGGTACTTCCCATTTTTTATTCCAAAGAAGAAAAGAAGTAAGATAAAAACAAGTGCCCCTCCTAAATTTTTCTGGCCTAGTCTGGCCCCCCCTAAGATAGAACCCTGGCGTCGCCACTGAATGTTTGTAGGAATCCACAATCCAAATCCCGATATGTACCTTGCAGGGCATGCCAACATCGATAAATTAAAAGGCTTGTTTTATGATTTTCGGACCCACTTTACTGGGTCACCCTGTATAGTTAGAGATTTAGTGCAATGATGAAAAATGCTTATTTTTGCTAGTACTACGACACACCAAATTTTTTAAAAAATTGACGGGCCACTGAAAACCCATAAGATGTGTGCAATATCCTTTGTGCCAAGCCGTTGTCATTTTTGTAGATTCATAAACTGTGCAATTGTTTTGAACCTTTCTCAAACCGTCCTTTTTTCAAACCCGAACAGGGCTTACGTTGCTGTGTGGCATTTCCCTTTCAGACACTCGTCTAATTGTATGATCAGAGTGGGATCACTGGGATCAGTATGCATGATGCATGATAGGTGTGTCCCGGCCTTTAGTCATGATTTCCTTCTTCAGACAGGGAAAATAATAGTCAAGACTCATTCTATGTAATTTTTTGATCTGATAGACTTCTGATTTACCTGTCCTCAGTTGTTGATCTGTGTTTTCCGAATTCTTGTTGTTCATCTTTATTTTGGTAAGGAATACTTTTGTTTTTTGTTTGCTATGGTGAAAATCGATTTGTGAAACTTGTGAAAGTGATTCAAATAAACTGAAATTGTCCCATTAGGTACTCCGAGGGGTGTTCCACCTACCCAAACATGTGTACACCACCGCCAAAGTTGGGCAATGTTTAATAACACTGCCTTGGGGGGGTTTATTTGAAACGTGCAATTCGAATACGTCTGACTAAGTCGCAATTTTTAGCGGTGGAATTCAAAAAAATGCACATGTGGCTTATTTGAAACTTTCGTCGACGCATTTCGCTAAATTCGTCGACGCAAGATTGCATTTGACATGCGTCACCTCTAGAGCTCGTGCATTTCCAAATTGCACGCGAAACTTTCCTAAAAATTTCAGTTTAGTTGACAAAGAATATTCTTGGCCTCATGGAATTCGAAAATATTTTTAATTTAAAGTTCAGTTCAGTTCACTTTATTTGATCTCTTTAAAATATAAAAATACATTTTGTACCCTAGAAAAAAAATATATTTAATGATAAAATAACACAAACACTCAAGACATGAAGATCTCCAAAAAATTGGTCAGTAAATGCTCTAGAAGGGTCGAATTGTATAACCATAACCGCAAAGGCTTCAGAAATCCAAGAATAGATGCATGCATTAACAACGCTTAGGTAATGACGAGGAATTTATAAAAAACTTTCGACTTTCGAAAGAATGTTTCGAGATTCCTTCCATGAAAAGGAGTTCGAAAATTTTCCCAACAAAAGGGCCAATTATTTGTTCAAAAATTCGACGAAGAGTTCTTTCTGTTTTTTGGTAACAAATCCGGACCTTCTCTTATTGGCCCTTGCCCCCGCACTTTCCATCTTTTTTGCGGTATTGTCCCTACACTTATAGAAAGAATAAACTAAGATAATATAAAAAAAAAAAAACGGAAAAACTTCAACTAAACACTAAACTTTATGCACGGAAGCAATCAAAAAAGTTGTTTACGTTAAACAATTTCAAATTTGACATTTCAATGCATCGTTCCGTTTGGTCATATGAAATTTTCTAACAATGTCATTAGTTAGAATATTTTGCAGAACACGTTGCCAAGTTGGGTGGTGCAAATTTAAAAATTCACGATTTACAAAATGCACAAGATTTCAAATAAGCCGATCGTGAATTTTTAGAACGCACATATTTCGACCAACTGATGGGTAGTTGCACCAACAATTTCTGATCTTGGTTTAACATTAATCTTGGTTTAAATCAAAGAAATCCATTGCACCGTTTCTTGAACAAAGTTTAATTTGATTTGAACTTGGTTCAACTTAAACGGTCATGTTTGATGGTTTAAAGGGAAGTTTTACTAATTGAATGCGTAGAAAGGAAATTCGCAAAGTGAAATGGCATGCCGTCTGTCGTTGTTTACGGCATATGTTCATGTTGTGAGAATTTCATTATTTATTATTATGTAGGTAGATATTTGATTTTTAAATTCAATAATCAATCTCGATCGAAATATCTGTGCAAAATAGAATATACGGCAATGAAAAACAAGACACTTGGAAGGAAATAATACAGAAGTATAAAGTATAACAGTGCAGGGCCTTCTTGTCCAAGAGCTGTAGAATGTTTAAAACTTTGCTAGCTACGAAAATAGAGAAAACTATAGAGAGAATCAGTTTTTTTTTTTTTTTTTTTCAATAATGATCTTGTATTTTGCCATAATATTAATTAGTATAGTAGGAGAGCTTTATCGTTGTTGGTAAAATTGGCTCATCTCTGTTTCACTTGTGCTATTAGTGGATCTATTTTTTCAAATGAAGCGAATTAGCAGAAAAAAAACTACAAAATACAAAGGGTTCAGACACTGCTTCGATTCGGAAAAACTTACAAAAAATAATTCGCTTTCTAGGTTATATTTTCTATTTTTGCTTTCACATTTGACAAATTTTCAACATGTTTGCCAACCTAAACGTAAAAAATCCTATAAATTACTAGTTTAATCAAACCGAGCTTAGTTGTGTGCCATGCAACGTCAGGTCGAATGATCGAGGTTTATTTTTGAATCCCAGTTTTATTAAGCTTAGATTAATGGAATCTTGGTGCAACTAGCCATGAGTCGCATGTGAAAGATTTGCACGGATTTCAAATAAACCCACCCTGTGGCGTTTGCTGCGAACATTTCTGTCAATGCCGACAATGTCGCCATCAATGCCAACAATTCCAATATCAATCCCGTCAATTCTGACAAAATGCCGTCAATTCCGACATTAATTCCGTCAATTCCGATATCAATGTTGTCAATTCTGACATCAATGCCGTCAATTCTGACATCAATCCAGTCAATTCCGAGATCAATTGAATGCCCTCAATTTCGGTATCACTGTCTCAATTTCCCTTACTTATCTATTCAATGCCCACAATACCTAAATCATTACTTTCACTGCCGCAATGGACCTTTCTCATGCAATGAACAACAAGGATAGTTTAGTAGGATTTCTGCAATAAAGAAAGAGACACATATAATGACGCGCGATACCTGTGTGGAATGACTTCGATTGGTTCCACTTGTCAAATTGTGCAATTTCGGTTATGTTTCTGTTTTTGTTTATTTTAAAACGTAAATATGACGAATATGTATCAACATTAATTAGAAAAAAAACCCACCGTTGGACAAAAATGTTTGCAGCAAACCTTTAATTGTACAATTATTATTGTATTTGATATAGAAATCGTTATTTTACGAACCCTCAAATCTCTGTCCCAACTTAAGTCGTCTTCATTCGGGTTGAGAGCACATAATCATTGTTTTCTTACAATTTGATTGCCTGGGAATTTGTGGAAAGAAAGGTTTGACTTCTTTTTCGCCTTATTCTAACAAGATCTCATACAACACATTTGAACCATTGTATCATAAACAGTTTTTGTAATAATTTTCAGCAATACTGATTGATATTGATTGATTATTGAGGTTAGCTCACTTAGCTGAAATACGTCAGCGTCGGACCGCCTTCAGTAAATGGACAATTTAATTATCTGTCACCCACAAGCGGCGCGCGCAGCACAGGTAAAATGAGAAAGGTCCGTTATGCCGAAAATTTGTACACCAATGCCGATCCTGTGAAACACCCCTCGTATTACTCTCATCAATAAATTTTCAGGTGGCAAACCAAAATATTTTTATAAAATTCTGATTTATTTAAATAGTGTAAAATTGAGCCGAACAATTTAAACATTGATTTTTAAGTTTACCTTGTTGACAATAGTATTTCTTTCCATAAAATTTGCTCTTTTCAAATAGAGAAAATCCAACTGAATGGCCCATCCTGATAAAATTTGCAGCATTCCTATACAATAGTACCATTATTTCGATTTCAATTATTGAAATGAATAATCTTTTTAAATTTTTATTCCTGTAAACTGTTTTAAAATTATAATTTTCATTGATAAAACATTTTTGAAAAAATTTAATTTTATATTTATAAACACATTCTTTGGAGGTTATGTTTATTTCCGACAGGTCAAAAAGTAACAGCTAGCATCTGACACTGACAGGAACGCGTTCAAAAACATGGTTGTCGGTGCGAAAATTATTTTCAAGAGTGAGGTCTAAACGCTTGATCAGAGCTGCTTTCGGGTGCCACTCTTTGAGCGCTCCCCAGTTACTCCGAAGTAGTTCGAAGCACTCTAGCTACAGTTTGTCCTGTGGTTTGTCCCGTTCGGTTTCAAGCGTTCGTATGCAAAACGCATCGAGAATGACAGGTGTGAAGTGTTCTAGGAGCACCCGAAAGCGGCTCTGGGTAGCCATGTCATGTCTGGGTCCACCCTCTAGGTTTCCGAACGACAATCGTTTTTGGGATCGGTGTCTACAATGTTGATATTTTGTAAGAATAGTAACTGGATTAGATTTGAATATACGTAATGAAATATTGCGAACCAGTGCCAGAGTCAAGCCCTTGAACATCGTGCCAGAACATATTCACCGAGGGCAAAAATGATTGATCCAGTTTCCCAATCAAAAACAAAAAACTGCTCGAAATCGCCCAATCGAACATAAAAATTGCAGGAGGGTTACCCTAGTGCTGCCCGAATTCACCAATAGAAAACACTTATATAGCGTTTTCTGTTGGTAAAACTAGTGCTGCACTCGTGCAAAAATTATGTTCTGTTGGCAGTTCCCGAGCGGGTTTTTATGTTCTATTGGAAAACCAGGGTAATCAATTATTGCCCTCTTGCAACTTTTCCAGCACGAAGTCAGAGAGCTCGTGCCAATATCAGAGCACAACAAAAATGGCGTAAAGTGCCGAAAAGTCTGTGTATAAACAAAACCATAAAATTATGGATATCGATATTGATAAAATTCTATAGTTTTTATCTTCGTCGAGCGACAGCGATGAAAAGGAAAAATTATTATATACTGTACAATGTTTGCCAGGAATAATGAGATACCAAAGATTCAAAATTTTATTGAAATTGACATAAAAATTAATTTCAACAAAGGTATCAATGGAATTATTGCTGCACATCTCGGGAGACAGCATAATTATGTACTTTACACACAGGAAAAACTTCCGTTTTCAACTTTTTCATACACACAAACGTTTTTAATTTTTATTCCATTAATAATATCTGTTATTTATTTTCAGGTTAGGTTAGGGATCAGGAATCGATAAATAGGCTGAGTTCGTTTTTGTCATCTTTTTCGTCGATTTGCTCCGAAATTTTGACAGACACGTGACTGGATAAGACAGTTCAGTTTACAAATCACGTGCCTGTCAAAATTTTGGAGCAAATCGATGAAAAAGATGACAAAAACGAACTCGGCCATAATAAATTTGAAAATAATGACAAAACCTGCCAAATTCATGTACTTTTGGGATTGCACTAAACGTGAACTGATTCAGTGTTGAGTGTAGAACTCAGGCAGCACGAGTTTTACCAATAGAAAACGCTATTAGGCTGAGTTCGGCATTGCACTCCACGGAGCGGAACGGCATGAGCATGGATATCGTGACGTCATACGCGCTCGTAAGGCATAAGGCCAAGGCAAAAGAGAACACACTGAGCGCTAAAACGAACAGGATCTTATCGCTTCGAGCGCGCTCAGAGTTTACAGAGTGTAAAGCCGAACTCAGCCTTGGTTAAAGTTAAGTGACAGCTAAGCTAACTGTCCACTGATGAACCGGTCCTAAACAACATATGTCAAATTGAAAGGGGTGGGATAAGATGTCAGTGTCAGTGAAAAAAAAATAGTGAAGCCTTTAGACTAGTTGGTGACAGAAGTGTTTAGTGAAAATTTTTTAGTCCATAATTTTTCACTTTCTTCGGAAGAATATGAAAGTGTATCCTCGGGAAGGTGTCTCCTCAAATTCTATTTCGTAGATAGATTATTTGGATAGGGTACAAATATGGCCTCGGGCGACACCATAGAAACTATCCAAGTTATAAACTCAAATTTGGCATTGAATAATATGAACAATTCGAAGGAACCACCCGGAATCTACGAATCTGGGGCCGCGGGCGAGAACGAAGGTACCCAACTTTCCTTTGTTTGCCAGCTTTTCGGTTATTTGCAAAATTTAAGGTCAAACCTGACAAATTTATAGCGCAATGCAAACTTTGTATAAAATTGATTTGTGGCTTCCTGTTTTGATAATGTTTTCATTGTTTTCAATATTTCATTATACCAGAAGCAAATGTGTTAATTAGTTAATTAGTTTTTTCATTTTCAATTTATATTGATGGTTTTCGTGTGCCAATCAGCTGACAAGGACTTGATTCCTCTATTTTTACCTACTTGCTTACATTTGACTGAAAATTTCAATGACCCCAAAATGCACTGTGCTCCTTGGAAATTCTCAATATTATGTTATGACTCAGTGCTTCAAATGAATGTGCTGCACCTTGAATCCTAATTCTGCTAATGCTATTTCCTCATGTAAATTATTTTTATTTTTGCAGACAAGGATAACCTTTCGGTGTTGAACAAAAGCTTTCAGGATGTAAGTATACATTTATTTTATAAATAATATTATAAATTTAAGAAAAAGCTGACTCGTTCTATAATGTCAATCAATTAATTTATAAAATTAGTTTTGGTTTTATTTAGTGGCCCTTGAAACATGTTTTTTTTTTTACAAGCACATCTAAATATTGCTTAGGTACTCTTCTAAGCTACGAAAACTGTCAAGACAACTTTGTGCTTTCCAGATCGAAGACCAGGATTCCCCAATATGCGAGGCCACTTTCACATTTTTCCAAAACATATTGAAATTATTGGGTATGACATTCTAATAACATCTGCCTATATATTGTTTGCCCAGCGGTTCTGAGTCTACGGAAGGAATTCAGACGTAAATGTGCGATGTTGCCACGTTTAATTATAAAAAAGCGAAAATACTAGGCATGAAGTATAGTTCATTTGAAAATCCATTTTTTAATAACAAAATGTAGATAACATTAAAACGCTGAATATTTCAACCTGGTTGTTAGATCTATGCTTATTTTAATAACTATGATTTCTTCAATTTTGTCTATTGTAAAAAATAAACATTTCCTAAAGAATCCATCAGCTTTTGACAATTTGACAAGGATCCGGCCTGGATGAACCTGATTGGTGGAGTTTTTGGCAGGATTGCCGTTGCCACGGGTAACCATGCAATTGTCAGTGGGCTAACGTCACCTTACGTCTCGCTATTGGCCAGGGCTCTTGTCATTTTATCCTCCCATCTTAGAATATCGATTTATATTGAAATATTCAGTGGCGGCGGTTTGGTCATTATCGATTTTCGTGTACAAGTTGCAATACGATAACATTTCCAAAAAGTTCCGCACGCAGCTGGGTATTTTATGAATGAAATCAGCCATTTTTTTTACAACTGCACTCCCCTTACCGTTGCCCCGTAGATACAGAGTCGCTGGGCAGACATTACTTTTTTCCACAAAAAAAAAATGCTAGGTAATTGAAAACATCATTCAAAAATCAAATTTTTTAAACTGCTTTGAAAGTGCGACCAGCACGGGCTAGGAATGTGATGTCAGACTCCCAAAATGCGAGGATGCCAGATTTCTCATTAGTTGAACATTCCAAAACATGACAGCGTTGCATAGGCCCGAGCATAGGCCCCTTGCATCAAATTTTTTTATTGCTGATTTCAATAGTCCATGAAAAATAAGTCAACACGTGTTTTTTCTTTTTCTTGTTAGTCAAAAATTGACGGAGATACAACACTTTGAAATGTCCTTCTGACGTCATAACTTATAATACGTTGTGACGTCGCACATGCTCAGTATATCTATATATACAAAACTCAATATTTGTATAACTTTCGAAATAATCATATTTGGACAAAATAAAAAAAACACGCTTCGATTTTTTTTCGATTTCCTACAGTTTGCAATAAACAATAATCAATTTAATTTTCCATGCAAGTAGCCTATTAAAGAATTGTACCTAGTTGTTATTTCACAACTGACTACCTAGAAAATATTTTTGTCCTTTACTATGTTATAAAAAAAAGGATAGGTATAATCTGTGAACTCTTGTTACCTAAGTAGTACAAATGGCTCATATTAATAAAACTGGAGCAAATGCTTTTGCTCAATTTTTTTGAGATAAAATATTCAGCTTTAATGCAGCAAAAAGAGAACAAGGTCAAGTGAAAGCATTTTTGATACTTTACCTATTCATACAACTGAATGAACCTAAATATTTGTCTCCTGTTGCCAAATCTTTTTTAAAATCTGTATATTTCTGGAAAATAATAGCAATAATGAACATCTCCTATGCTGGAAGAGCAAAGTCAGCAGAATCAAAAATCGATACCTTAAACACTGATTGAATCCCTCAATGAGAAATTTTGGGTCTCGTGAATTTTCATGAAAATGACTATTCTGCTAGCTTTAACTTAAGCCACCAGAACTTCTGCGAACAAGTGGCTGGAACAATGAAAATTGCAATTCCACTTGCACAGACATTAAAGGCTCCAGAAATACACTAATCGCAAATTTCAAGCTCAATTACTTTTTATGTAAAAAAGTGAATAGCGACGATGACTGGGCCGTGCATGGCGGAAAAACCTCTGCCGGTGAAAAACAGTGTTCCGTTAGTGCAGTCGTTGTGAATACATTCTAATTATGTGCTGTAATGAGACATTTTAGGCTCTGCGGAACAATGGCTGTTATTATTATTATTATGGATATGTGGTAGGCGGATGGGTAGCCAATTGAAGACACAAGAGGATAAAGGTGTTATGTCACAAAACTAAATTATTGAGAAAAATGCAAAAACGCGTTTTGATTTGGAACTTTTTTTTAAACTGCTTAATTTGAACATAGGCTTTTTAGACATTTAATATATTCAAGTTAGTATTTTTTCAACAACTTTTGGCTTGTGTAAACTGAAAATTTCAACAAAAAAAAAATATTTTGTGTACATAACACTTTTATCCACAAACTTTTTTCATGATAAGGTTATGGTTGTGTGAATAAAGGAGTCATTTACGTAAGTTTTTAATTTTTATATTGCAAAAAACGAAGAAACAATAGGAATTAAACTTAAAATTAAGATGTTTTTCTTCTTTTTGGATTTGCCACATTTTCTTCTATAATATCCTCATAAAACCATCTGTAACTCTCGTTGACAAATTGAACTTGTTCTTGTAAATTTTTTATTTTTTCTAAAGTCAACCCGCCAGTCTTCGTTAGCACTCTGGTAGGTGCACACAGGGTTCTATCAACATTTTTGGTCCCTTTTTTCTTCAAATCCACTTGTAAAAATGGCGTATATTCACTCAAGCAGGTTTTATAGAAATAATAGCCAAATTCCTCAACTCTTATCCATTTTACCGTATCCCTCATATTAATCTTCACGTTTAATGTGTTGGTTTGTTTTCTAAATAAGTATAGTTTAGCAGGTAGTTCTTCAAAGTTATAGAAAAAATTTTCCATGTTAACACAAGTACTTCCTTTGGTGCTTGCAGAGGTAATGATATCGCGGTACTGCTCTGGAATAAAAATTGACTGGTGTTTTCTGAGAACTTTCTCGATTCTCCCAAAGTCTCTGTCTGAGTCTAGAAAGCTATGTCCAACTTCCGGAAATTTGTGGTCAATTATTTTAAAAAATCTGTTTAGTATTAAATATTCGTACAGACCAATAATAACAAAATTTTTATTTTGTCCTGCGCAGGAATCAGACCATATAACCAAATGATCAATTTCTGGGTGTTCTTCTTTTAGATTTTTACAAAATCGGAATAGGCAGCTTGCGATCTCATTACTGCCTCTATTAGCAACATCCTCAGTCCACGTGAAAAAGTGAGATTTTTGACCACCATGAGTAATAGAATGTATGCCGAAATTATAGAACCACATCTGTTGTAGGTAGAATGCTTTTGAAGTTGACAATTTGGGCAGAGGCATAGTTTGCTGCAAATCCATTGTGATGTAGCATATATTTTTATTGGAAAGTGGCTTTTGCCTGTCTGCCTTTTGAGAATCAAAAGCAAAAGTGTAATTTTCTGTGTGTTCGACAGTATTCCCACCTGCATCGCATACACTACATGTATCGCTCTTAGGATAACCAAATGAAAGGTTAAATTTCGTAACAAATAAATTGCGATACATAGACAGTTTAACTAAATACTTGTCTTCAAGCTGTCTCTGCTTACACTCATCTATGTAAAGTTGGTGCATTTTCGTGATATTTAATAACGGACATAGATATTTTCGATTTTCATTTCTATTTCGTGAATAATGTGAATTTTCTGCTGGAAAGTTTCTAATGTGTACCACAACGTTAGCTATGACATCTTCGGAAATTTTGTGTGGTCTTATGTTGTGCCGACCTTGTTTATCTGGGGTTGGGGCGGACTGTCCAGCTTTTAGCTGTTTTTGTATATTTTCCAACTTTTTCCGTCCAATTTGGTAAAGAGTGCAGAAAGCCTCCTTACAGATTTGATTTTTTTGTTTATCTATAGTCACTGAATATGTAAAGGAGTATTGCTTTGGACGCTTTACGTTGCGTCTATGTCTTGATATTGGATTAATATCGATACTTTTAAATAATAAGCAGTTTTTGGCATTAACATTCAAATTATAATATTTTCTTAAAATAGATTCCCTGGCCTCCAAACTGAATTTGGATCCACACTGTAAACGGCATTTCTCTCTACACAATATCGCATTTTCATTAATCGTCTTTTTTGGAATGAGCCTTCCAGTTTTTTGAGAAACATAATCCATACCTCTTTCCCTACACATTGCAGATTTTTTTCGTTTCCATTCTTCAGGATTTCTTTTTATTTTTCGGGAAATTTTAGGCTTCATTTCGAATATTTTTTTTTTTACTGACTTATGTATCTCAATATTGTTATTAACGACATCGGTATTTTCACCTTCAGCAGTTACATGGGTTTTCACCGTTATATTAGTACAATTTTCAGCAACATTTTGTGTATTTGACCCACGTACCAATGAAGATTCAACTACTGGTTCCAATTCACTTTGGCTTGCATTTTGGGAATAAACATCTTCGGCAAATATATTTTTTTTGACAGCTTCAATTTTTTCCCAGTTAGTCTTATGTTTAACCTGTTCATGGTAAGTATTAGTGTCACTGTCGAAATCCGTATCGTCACTAGAATGTTCTGTGTTGGATGGGATATATTCATCACTTGATGTAATGCTATCTAACTCATCAGAATCCATTCCGTCTGGAATTTCAAAGAAGATAGATTTCGAGGAAATCCACCCACACATTTACTAATAAAACTCACCTAAAACATCCTGGGAAGTTGACCTCGAGGTTGACGGTTTTTGAGTAGTGTCTCCCAAACCAAATAATTGGCAATACCCATTATCAGTCTTACTTGTTGAAGGTTTTTCTTTCTGGCTGTCTTTAAAGGGGTTATGGATGTTAGATGACAAGCACTCTATCTTGTCGGATTCTACTTTATCTAAATTTAAGAAATGCAACTTAAATAATACCTACCGAAATCCATAA